GGGACGCACCGATTGGCAATTTTCTCTCAAAATGGATTCAGAGGAAAAGTTCTTGGCACCCTACTTGCTACTCTCTTGTTTCAAAAAAAATTTAAATAAAAAAGAAACGTCCTGAATATGTGATCACCTTCACAACGTCCTCTCCTCCACCCAGTAATCAAAGCCGTAAATTGTGGGGTTGGATTGACAGATTCCAAACTCCTAGCTCCAGCGGTGAATGATTTAAATTAATTAACCCGCCCCTTTGCCACAGTGATTGGCTCAGAATGGTCACCCAGGTAACCCGGGCCTAAGCCAGTCAGTGCCTTCTATCTCCCTAGTTAAGAAAGTGGTTAACATAAAAATCCTAGAAAAAAACACACACATAGGCAGTAAAATCTCGGACATTTCTAGTAGCGATATTTTGTTATATATATAACACCTCGGGCAAGGGACACAAAAGAAAAAATAAACAAATGTGACTACATCCAACTAAAAAGTGTTTGCACAGCAAAGGAAACCATCAACAAAATGAAAAGACGACCCAGTGAATGGAAGAACATATTCGCCAATGATACATCTGATAAGGGCTTAATATCCAAAATTTATAAAGAACTTACAAGCCCTGACCAGTTTGGCTCAGTGGATAGAGCGTCGGCCTGCGGACTCAAGGGTCCTGGGTTCGATTCTGGTCAAGAGCATGTACCTTGGTTGTGGACACATCCCCAGTGGAGAGTGTGCAGGAGGCAGCTGATCGATGTTTCTCTTTCATCGATGTTTCTAACTTTCTATCCCTCTCCCTTCCTCTCTGTAAAAAATCAATAAAATATATTTTTTTAAAAAAAGAACTTACAAAACAACATCTAGAAAAACAATCCAATTTAAAAAAATGGGCAGAGGACCTGAATAGAGACTTCTCCACAGGGGACATATAGGTGGCCAATAGACATATGAAAAGATACTCAACGTTACTAATCATCAGAGAGATGAAAATGAAAACCACAATGAGGTGCCACATCACAGGTGTCGGAATGACTACCATCAATAACTCAACAAACAAGTGCTGGTGAAAATATGAAGAAAAGGGAACCCTCGTGCACAGCTGGTGGGAATGCAGACTGGTGCAGCCACTGTGGAAAGCAGTATGGAGGTTCCTCAAAAAGTTAAAAATCGAACTCCCATATGATTCAACAATTCCACTTTGGGGTATTTCTCTGAAGGAAATAAAACACTTAATTTGAAAAGATATATGTACCCCAATGTTCATTGCAGCGTTATTTACAACAGCCAAGACATGGATGAATGGATAAAGAAGCTGTGGTGTGTGTATGCAATGGAATATTATTCAGCCATAAAAAGGAGACCCTGCCATTTGAAACAACGTGAATGGATCTTGAGGGCTTTATACTAAGTGAAATAAGATAGACAGAGGAAGGCAAATACCATATGATCTCACTTGTATCTGTAATCTTACAACAAAAACAAAAAAAAAACCCTTGCCCTAACCAGTTTGGCTCAGTGGATTAGAGCGTCGGCCTGCCGATTCAAGGGTCCCAGGTTCGATTTCCGTCAAGGGCATGTACCTTGGTTGCGGGCACATCCCCAGTAGGAGATGTGCAGGAGGCAGCTGATCGATGTTTCTCTCTCATCGATGTTTCTAACTCTCTATCCCTCTCCCTTCCTCTCTGTAAAAAAAAAAATCAATAAAATATATTTTTTAAAAACCTCATAGTTACTGAGTACAGAAGTGGTGGTTGTTGCCGGGGGCAGGAGTTGGGGGAGAGGGGCAAAATGGGGGGCGGTGGTTAAAGGTACAAACTTGCAGGTGTAAGGTGAGTGAGCCCTGGGATGCACAGCACAGCGACCGTAGTTACCACTGCCTCACTGCGTGTTTGCAGGCTGCGAAGAGAGTAAATCTCAAAACGTTTCATCACAAGGAAAAAATCCTGTGGCTCAGCGTGGTGATGAATGTTTTAAAAAGTTGCCGTGGCTTTATGAGTCCCGGGGGCTCCGTGGCACACCCCTGGGCTTGTGCGCATTCCGAACTGAGAAAGGACAGACGGTTCATTTATGTTACCCTCCAGGATGGACTGAGACGTGCCTTGTTCCAGGCCCCGGGCCGGGGGTGCTGGGCGTACCCGAGAGAGTGAAGCAGGCTCTGTTTGCCGGTGCTCGGCCCCCCGGGGCTGTGCCAGGCTCGGCCGGCCCCGTTACAGTCAGGGAGGGAAGCCCCGTAGTTATCACGAAGATGTGTTCTGATCCTCGGTTCGGGGTGTAGACTGTAGAATATGCTAATTGGGACAGGTTTTGCTAACGTTTGCAGCGGTTCTCAACCTGTGGGTCGCGGCCCCTGTGGGAGTCAAATGACCCTTTCACAGGGGTCGCCTAGGACCATCAGAAAACACATATATAATTACATATTGTTTTTGTGATGAATCACTATGCTTCAATTATGTTCAATTTGTAACAATAAAAATACATCCTGCATATCAGATATTTACATTACGATTCATAACAGTAGCAAAATTACAGTTATGAAGTAGCAACGAAAATAATGTTATGGTTGGGGGTCACCACAACATGAGGAACTGTATTAAAGGGTCACGACATTGGGAAGGTTGAGAACCACTGGTTTAAAGAGAAGTCTGCAAAAGGGGCTTTGGGGACCCTGAGCGACTGATCCCACTTGGCCTTGTTACAGAATTTACCAGGCGACCGAAAAATACACAGGAGTACTGGAGGCACAGGGGAACCCCACTTATTTCCAGACATTTCACAGGGACCGGTACAGGGACTCAAGGGAGTTTGTTTCTCTCCAAATCCTGAGCAAACCAATATGGAGGAAGCTTTCCCTTTACACCCCTTTGGTTTCTTTGTCCCCCAAATATGGGTCATACTTCCGGACCTTTTGCAGGCTTTGCAAAAAGCCCCATGTGCTGGGATGGGGGCAGTGAGACCACATCTCAAGGCCTGGCCTGGGGCCAGCACTAGTAACTCCGTCTGGGGTTGTGTGTTGTTCATGGTTTGTGGCCTCTAGTACTTAGGTAAACAGGTCTTGCAGGACCAGGTAATTAAAGAAGGAGCAGTGACTGGACTATAGGCTAACAAGAATGTGCATTAGGTTACTGGCACAGATGCAGATTGCTAGCCCCAAGAAATGTCTCATTTTCCCTGTCAGCCTCACCAGGGAAGGCTCCCTGCAGGAGGCAACACTGGAAGGGATCTTGAAGGCTGCCTCTAGTAACCACATTAGTAACGTTTGTCGTTGTTGTTAATCCTCACCTGAGGATATTTTTTCCATTGCTTTTCAGAGAGAGTGGAAGGGAGGGAGTGGGGGGAGAGAGAGAAACAATGATGTGAGAGACAAACCAACTGGTTGCCTCCGGCATGTGGCCTGACTGGGGGCGGCGAGTGAACTGCAACCCAGGTACGTGCCCTTTACGGGGAATCAGACCTGAAAGCCTTCCACGAGCAAGCCGACTCTCTAACCATTGAGCAACACCGGCCAGGCAGTATTATTTTTTAAAGCAGGTATTGCTAT